CGTTGGTAGTATGAATGTGCCACGGTGCCAGACCCTTGTCTGCCAGCTGTTGGAGCACTTAGATGCAGCAATAGCTAGAAAGTGAGTGATACGAATGGAACGAACTGTCTTGCTCGCTTCAAAAGCTGATGGCAAAAGAGTTCGGTACCGCGCCAAACTCATCCCGCCTGATACAAACCTTCCTCCGCAGCGAAGTAGACTAGACTATACATATGTCTATCGTCTCACTGAGCGATGAGGAAGTTATCTCAGGGATGTTGAGTTCTAAGCAAAAGACGACCCACCAACCTGAACCTCTCGCTTAGTGGTGTATGAGATAGTGAAAGGCAGCCTTGACAGAGTGCACTCATTAATCTTATGCTTACCGGCACTTGAGCATCTAAGTCCTGCGAGCTCTTAAACAACTGAGAACCGGGCACAGTCTGTAACCCCTTCATGCCGTGCCGTCACCTGTCAAGCACCCCCTTCAACATGACAAGCCTACCAAAATGAATGGTTCATATCTTGGGGAAAAATGGGTTAATGGCCTTCGAATCACCCTAGTACCCTTTCACCACGCTTGGTATACGCTCACAATGTGATTTACAGGAATTTATAGGGCTCAGAGAGAGAGACAAGTGCGAAGAGACAAACGAAAAACCAAGGATACGCATTGAGAAACGCTCTCATGTGTGGTATCCCCCCGAATTTATTGGCGCCGATGTATGCTCAAGTATAGAAAAGGGTCAAGGTTTTTGTCTAAAACTGTGTTGTGGTGTTTAATATGTAATCATATGTAATCACGTGATAGTAGAATAAGGCCGCGATCATGCTTCGCGACCCAAGCGTTTCATCCGCTCGACTGTGATTCCCTAGCATATAGACCGTTCCCATGCCACTTCGCATTCAGGGTAGAATTCCTATCGACCGTTGGTATCAAATTAGTCGTGGAGCGCCCTCAATCAGAGTCGCTCGATCCAGAATTCGCGCGATTGAATAGCTTGAGTGACGACGTATGAACGCGGCCTACACCTACACACACCGGATCGTAGGAGCCTACAATTCCATGATCGGCCAGAACCGTAAGGAGAACGAAAATCAGGACACACTGAGAAAGCATGTGGGACTGGGACGAACTCATTGCTGCACTCCCCTGAATATGCAGCTTCCCATTAGACCATTGGGTCATAATAGCGTACATTAAGATTCACCGGATTTTCCTTTGCGGGCAATGTTTTGCCTATTGTTTTCTTATAAATATACAGTATGAAAGGAAAGCAAACATAAACCGCTACTTTGAAGTAAAAGCGTCATCAATTTGTATCCATAGCAATGACATTTTGAAGAGCTAAAGCATTCGCAAACATTTAAAAATTGCATCGCTACCTCCTCTGAATTTCTCAAGTCGTTCATCCGAACAAGGGTATACTGCTGCACAAACAGATCTCCTTTGTGGTGGTTGTGGTTCGATCATATCTGCCCATTCAACATTGATGCTACCACTCTGAAAGCGGCTTTTGTGAACATTCGAAGTCACAACCAGGAATCAGTGAATATTCTACACTGATACAAAGTGCGCGAAGAAAAAGGAGGTGATTGCATAATTGCAGAGGCACGTATAAAATGCCGTGCTCGAGATCTCGTTGTACACACTTCTCGCAACCGACTCGACTCGGAGCTTGCTCTTACTCGTCAGAGGGATACTAGTAAGCAAGCGTGGTATATCGAAGCGCGTTCACACTTCGCCACACGATCTCTTGGATAACGCGATCGGATCGCTTGAATCGCACAACCATGGACGCTCCACTGAAATGCACCGCTGCAAGGATCCACGCAGGGCAAAGGTGGCCGAATTTGACCGAATACTAACGTACTTAACAGAGAG